AACAGGTAGTGGTAGAGTTGGTTTACTATGCGCTACAATTACATACATATCCTTGACAGGAACTTGCAATAATACATAATAACAGGTAGTGGTAGAGTTGGTTTACTATGCGCTACAATTACATACATATCCTTGACAGGAACTTGCAATAAAATTAATTGGTAAATGCATCTCGATATGTATCTGCCACACTCACTTCGAGTCTATCCAAAAACTGATCCCTGGTTGATTTCAGTTTGTTGTCTTGCTGTTCGGCTGTAAGCATGTGTAGCAATAGTTCACCCATGACTCCTAGCACAGCATTTCGCATGCTGTATGACTGCAAGAACAACGAAAAAAACTTGAACGCGTGCATCACAGAAACGTGGCGCGCGGAACTCATAGGCGTGGTGGATCGATAGCCAATCACAAATTCTTTACATATAATTACGAGCGACATTTTAGAAATATGGGCTTCTGAATGAAAACGGGGGTCTTAGTGAGGAAAAGTGATATCACTGTTCAAAACACAATGTGCTATTTGTATAGACAATAGATTTAACAATTTCTTTCACCCACATCTGCATTCTTTTACTAAAAGCAACGTATGATCAAAGCAGAATCGGAGTTGTGGCGGGCATTATTAACATCTCATTAGCCAGATGTTAGCACTTCATACACATCAGTCTTCTGCACGTACCTCTTCATCTAGGTGACAAAGTAGGACACTTATGCATGGCAGCACAGCATCGGGCACCCTTCCAGCTAGCTCCACCATGAACACTGCATACGATCTCGTTGCCGAGTTGTCTCTCGCAAGCTCTTTTGGATCCATTCTGCCTATTTCTCTGAACGTACGAGATATAGCGCGTCAGGCGTGTGTATCACAGAAAAGTTCCTCGTCCCTCAAGTTTTCACTACGGATTTCCTTGTGGAGTAAACACCTCTATAGTGACGTCAAGTGACCAGTATACGGTGACAAATGCACACACACACACACACACACACACACACGCGCACACACACACACACACACACACACACACGTTCATGCTTGACTGACGAACTGACGTTTCACTGACAAAAAATTAACGATGCTACCATACAGTACGCGGTCGAGCCATCAATGGGGATGTGAGCAAGCCTTAAAGCATTTTATTTAGCCAACGTCACCTCATAATTTCGTTTACTGTGTCCTTTAAACCATACTCCTTGACAAATATCTCGACAGCATGGGCTAGCGGCACACCCAGATGTTCAAAATGCTGCAACATCTGGATGATCTTCAGACTTGCACCTAAACAAGAATAAATATACATGTCAGTTGACAGGATTACAAATTATATGATAGTGATTGCTTTCAACTTACTATGGGTATCTATCATTACACTACAATATAATTATGACGCATTATACAACTTTTGTTGGAGATTATTATATCGAAATTATATTAATAATATCGGCGATAAAAATCGTGCACAAAATATAGATTTTTTTTTTCAAAGTAGACAACTACGCAACGTTATAAGTTCAGGAGAGAATAAAAACAATTTGCTTTTATTCCCTCCTGATAACATGGTACGCTACCATAAACACAAGATTTACACCTGCCACTATGGCATATCTAAAACTTTCTGGACTTTAATGGTTAAGTTTCAGTTAAAAATTACCGACTTACTGAGGTCATTGTTATATTTCTTGGCCATAATGGCCATGATGTGGAATATGGTGATACGGGTTTCCTTGTTCCGCTGATGCACTATATCAGCATTCTCCAACAGCTTGTAGCAAGTTGATGTGATCAAGCTGTAAGACAAACGTACAATACAATACAGTGTTATACAATTCATTGAATTCAATACAGTACAATGTCATACAATGCAACAAGCCAACAATACAATACAATACAATACTTTCCATGCTTCATCAAATATTTAACGAACAAATTTAACTTTCGTGCGCTGAAATTGTGCTGGTACTCTGATAGAGTAGTAGCTGCTTAGCACTGACGTGTAAGAAAAAGCTGCACATTTACTCGAAAGACGTGCGAGATGATCTTTCCTTGCACACACACCTTACAAAGTCATCCTCCATAACCGGTGGATCCCAAAGCTTCGCCAAATTTAGCTTAACGAGTTGGCAGAGCACAAGCACGGCATGATCACGTTCCCCATCCCAGTCCCAGTCATTCTTCCGGTCAGCCTTTTTCTGTGGTTTTCCTTTCTGCAGGAGTAAACAATTTAAATTTATCTTACCTGACAAACTTGTACGCATGACTTTTGCTGATAACATCGATTCTTTGATAGTGTGCAGTGCAATATGTGGATGCGTGTTTTTGAGGATTGTTTCCAGATAAGTGCCAATACACAGAAACAGAAAACAAGCTTGTCCAGCAATAAAACAACTTTTTTGAATTGATAGATAGCAGATGTAGATATTGTATTAGAACACCTAAATGCATAGCTGCTTAATCCATGACACAGTACGGAAAATAATTACATTCATCGCAAAAAGCTCAAAGTACAACCAGTGTTACGTATGGCACATTTCAGGTACTCATACAACTACGTAAATGCGTACTAACAAACTAAATTAACAAATAATGTTAGCATAAATAATAAAATAAACAACACATGAATGCGTACCTTCTTCGGAACAGTACTGGGCTGACTGGCCTCTGCTTGGAATGACTGCATTAGCTGGCACACTAGGTAGCAGATCATTTTCAAACTGTTCAGGTGCTGCTTACATATTCGTTTGTCCGAGGCATGATCCACAAGAACAGTAGGAAGTACTTGGCATTGCTCCTCCAATACTGAAAAGAGATAACATTTCTCATATTATGCTGTTGGTTCGCATAATAAAAGTAAAGAAATATAAATAATACCAATGATTACCATGCACGTTTTCAACTCGAATTTGTACAACTACGTATAGTTTTTGTACATGAACTTGTGTTTTAAAGTGATTACGTCACCGTACATAGTAAAAATTTAAAAAATATTTCCACTTTTTCACAAAATATAAGTAATTCTGTTCACTTTTTATGGTTAAATTGCTGCATTATACTTCCTATTTTACTATATTGTTCGATGTTAACATACACTCGTGACTCATACATAGCCCATAGCAAGCAATTAATGTCAGGAACACAATATCAAATCGTCCAGGTTTTCTGGATTTTTAACTAGTTGAGAAACAATCTTATCAGGTAAGAATTTGACGATACACTTAGTCCCGTTAGTTTCTCTTTTTCAAAATTTTACCATAGAAAATTCGTAACGTAGTCAATTTAAATACCACTTTCAGAAAAAATGATCACAGTTCATGTATTCCACACTACACGATTGTGCCTTTGGTTGAATGTAGTTCTGATCACCTTTTAGCATTAGATCCCAAACACTATTCTTTACTTCCTGTCCAGCAGACCTAAAATGACTGCAATATAAACAAATTTTGATAAATGAAGCCATAGAATGAGCAATAGAGTAAGTTATGCAAGATTCAAAATATCCTATATCATTTTTCGTCTCATTTGAATGATTACACCCACATTTTAATTTCGCATATGTCACTAGTTACTCATTATATTTCAAATGTATGGCTAGCATGTTCATTACACATACCACAGAAGACTGTAGACAGTGTCAAAGTGGCCTAAAATTAGCAGTGCATCTTTCGATTTGACATCTTTCTCTAATTCTGGAAAAAAAACAGGACTCAGCTAAATAAACTTCATTCAAGAGACGCCCACCACCACACAACCAACAACTTGATGATGGGATTCAAATTCACGATCAACTTAACGTTTAAACGAACATTACTACACACAGTGGTGATGATTATTACTGTTCACGTCCCAAATGTCTACCCTCTGTGTCCCCCACTAAAATTGCGGACTGTTCGCTGGCAGCTATGGATCCGTGCGCCGGCCAATGCATTCGGCGCACGGATCCATAGCTGCCAGCGCTGCATACTGTCGTAGGACGTTCCCGCGGTCGCGTGCGCCTTGCAGCGGAACTGCGCTCAAGATCTGCGCTTAGCGCTTCGGATCAATACCTCCTTTCGGCAACGCTTCTCTAGTATCCCGTCTCATCTCGATTTTGGCTTACAAATGCGCTTTCCCCCATCACGTTTCGCAATTGTTAGGCTGTACATCACACACCAGTATGTGTGTACGTATATATATAGTCTATCTTATTTCGAGTAGATAGAGGACAACAGAAAAATGTTGAAACACATAATGTACCAGACGATAATTTAAAATGAGCACAGATATGTATAAAGTATAAAATAAAAAGTACCTCGAACTTTATACGGCAGTTGCCGAATTGGCAATACTTCTGCGACATACTGACCAGGAGTATCATCTACTGTAAGGTCTTCCTTGGATATTGGAATTAAAAAATCCTGATCTGCCATCCTAAACGCTTGCTAACCACGTTTCTACCTCGACATTTAGTTTAAACAAACTTGTTTATTCTGAAACAGAAGACAAAACAATCATGTGTAGATTTGTAAATGCGACATAAATTACTATGCACGACCACACACATTTTCATAGCTGGGACCACAATTAAAAAGATATTTGTTTGCGCTCACCCAACCCAGGCTGAAAAGTTTGGATAGGTAGGTTGGCTTTTTTTGAGGGGGGGGGGGTCTTCTTACAAATTCAGCATGGTGTCTACATGCTCGGGGGTGCTTGTGTGGAGATACCTTTTATGTTGGATGTTTGTTTTGCTTGGTACATATAATGGATTGCCTACAGATTTAAATAATGTACAGTGATACAATTTGTTAAAAAAAAGAAAGAAAAAATCAATACAATTTTTCGAGCGACCCCTTTTTTGGCGATCGGTCGGGTGAGAGCAAACAAACTATATTTTTATTGTGGCCTCACTATGCTCAGATTATGCAGTCAGCAGCAGTTGGCAAGTATAGTTAGTATGGACACCTCCCTCCAGTGTCAGCCGTTTCTTGAAGCATTCAACGAGCTGTGGTGTGACGTTGTGACTCATAAACCCAGGGTTCTCCCTACGTTGCGCAAACGGGGCGCGCGCGCCCCGTTTGGGAAAACTCCCCCCTGTTTGAATCGTTGCGCCCCGTTTGGGAAAACTCCCCCCTGTTTGAATCGTTGCGCCCCGTTTGAATTACCTGCGCCCCGTTTAAATTCCACCACAATAAAAGTTTGCCAGCGCGGGAATCGACCGTCAAGAATTGCCGTTCGACAAGGACACCCGACGCGTGTATTTTTACCGTACCACGCATGCACTGCAGACAGTACACAAGTTAACCTGACAATGCACAGTTAACCACTCGGCTATCTTATATATACAAGAACCCCAAATACCGTCTATGGTGTGGTGGCGATTTTACGCATTAATTAGTCGTACGGTAAAAATACACCCCCCCCTAGTTTCCCCCTCCCCCCTCCCCTCCCCCCTGTTTGAATTTCATCCTGGGGAGAACCCTGATAACCAATTTCGCATTAAAAAAAACATGGCATGTTGTGGGCATTTTCGGCTACCATAATACATTGTTTATATCCGGACATAATTTTAATCACAACAATAAGATTCAGTTTATGCCAGTGCTTGTTAATTCATCAAACATTTAAAGTTCAAGTGAAAGTAAAGAAACAGTTTTTCGGAGTAAACAGCTAACTGCTTCTGTTATTTCAAGTGTGTTGCACAGCTATTTGATAGGCTAAAGCTAAAGCAATAATCTTGTCACGTAATGAGGTTACCGCACACGTGAAGTTGCGATATGCAAATTCCTTAATATTATATATATATATATATATAGTGAGCATTGGCGTAGTTAGGGGGAGGGGGCAAAGGGGGCCATGGTTAATCCAAAAATTAAAAAATTAAGAATTGTTCTACTAAAAAGAGAATTGTCGTAGTCCGAATGAAGGCTGTACATGCCTCAAATACCATCTCCTGCAATCTAAATTTTCAAAATTTTTGGGGGGAGGACCCCCATACCCCCCGCCAGTGTTTCACCCCCCCTCCTCATTATCCTGGATCTGCTACTGAACAGCTACATATCTAGGGAGCAGAGAACAACGAACACAAATGTCGCCTTTTTACATGGCGCCCAAAACAAAGATTGCAGAGCTGAGAGGCGGGGGAGAATAGCGTGTGGAGAGGGTATAGCGGAGAACCCATTAAAATATTAAATCATCTACTATTTTGCGCAGTTCGCTGTTTTTGGCCCCCGCTGTTAAAAAATCCTGGCTACACCATTGATAGCGAGTAGGAGTGTCACTGTTACCAGAGACACGCATCAATTGGTGCGCCGCCATAGCATCACATAGTATAGGCTATATTATATACGATTATTATAGCATAGCATTGACATTGGTTAGACGTCACGGGTTATAACTAGAGTCTCCAGTAGCCAATATAGTAACTAAGGCAGTCACAAGTTATTATCGAGGTCGCTTTTCGTAGCAAATTAAGATGCTACAAAATAAATCCTAGCAAAATTAGTGCTTTTATCTGTTGCTCTCAGTATCGCTCATAGGATCTATGTCGCCCAGGGTACTGCCGGAACATACCCTGGGTACGGTCCGGTATACCGGAACGTACGCTGGTAACTATCTGATATGGTTAGAGTTAGGGTTAGGGAGTAGGCGACTCCCTAGACTCGTTAGTGGAGTAGGCAAGGTACGGTCCAGCATATAAGATAGTACCAGGGTACGTTCTGGTATACCAGACCGTACCCAGGGTACGTTCTGGCAGTACCCTGGGGGACATAGACCCTCTGTCTCAGCCTCTGTTGTGTCCAGGGCTCGAATTAAGCGGCGAGAAGGGCAAGGCAATTTTTTTAGGGCACGTGAGAAATCGCCTTGAATTTTCTCTAAAATGGAAGGGCACAGAGGCAATTTTAAAAGGCACCAAGGCAACTTTCAAAATTTGAGAAGGGCACCAAGGCACTTTTGTAAAATAAAGGAAAACTCATAACAAATTAGTACATCAACATCGTCTTGCTTTTAATGTACAAAACAATATGCCCCCATGTAAGCTTACACCGTAACGCCGACCCTTGTACCCCCCTCTGCTAATGGAAGTACAGTAACAATAAATTTTATATGCCCGCTATCAGGAGTGAATAATTATCCAATGCTGTTATTGTTCCCTCCTGCAATTATCGGTTTTAAGCTCATCATTGCAACTACAGCACGCATGCGCACGTGTTATGTTGATTCGACTAAAAACGAAACTAGGGCAATAGATTAAAGGGCACCGACGGCAATTACACAAAAGGGCAAGGCAGGTGACTGCCGTCGGTCGAGTTGGATTTTCAGGGGCAGTACGGCAATTGATAGGGGCACCGACGGCAATTGCCGTCGGTTAATTCGAGCCCTGGTTGTGTCCAGTATCTGTTGTTCTCAATCTCAGTGATTGTCGATGTAAAAATATACTTTACGAGAGCACTGTCACTGTCAGCATTGTAATTGCTGTGTGGGCCACGGCACAAGTTACCTTCTTGCTTCTCACTGCGTGGCAAGAAGTTTTACGACGCGAAACAGTCGTAGAGCCTGGGAAAGATAGTACCAACTCCAAAGTGCTAAGGTTAAAGGTAAGTAGATAGACTAGTACTAGTAGTACTACTACTAGTACTACTACTAGTACTACTAGTAGTAGTACTAGTAACACTCCACGGACTAGGATAAGGAGTAGGCCTAGGCCTAGCTCTAGTACTATAGCCCGCGTACATTGACTGCCGCAGGCGCGTCTCGCCTGCGGAAGTCAATGTACGCGCGCTATAGTACTAGAGCTAGCCTAGGCCTGAGTAAAGAGATTAGTGATTACGGTTATACACACTTACCCCGAGTTACACGGTTACGCAGATGCAAATTTAAGTGCTTGTTAAGGGTTGTTGTTTTGTATATACATATATATACATATAACAAACAACCACATAATATGTAACCCGACTACCAACTACTGGATGAATATTTTCACAAAGTCAACAAAACTGCGAAAGTTTCAATTTCGGCGGCAAGGTGGCTGATAATAATACCGCGCGATATTTTAAACAAGTGACCAATTCGTTAGTTTCGCGGCAAACTCCACGACAGATGGCGCTCTCGCTCTTGGTATCCTCGAAGGGGACGCTGCATGCAGTTTGGCTTCGCGGTAGTTCAACGCTCAGGTTCAACGTAGGGTCCCTATGTACAGGGACTCTATATAAAGGGACTCTAGTTCAACGTATACTAGTAGTTGTACTTATACTTATAGACTGAAAACAACCACACCATGTATAATACCAAGTTAATACTATAACCAGAGCACACAAATAACTATAGGTGATAGGTGATTTATATAAATAAATTATTTATAACACATAACACTGACAGCTGATTTATATGCTCTGCCATAGAACATCACGTGACTTTTGGCGTAATTGGCGCCGCCATATTTCCGTAGGCAAAAGCATCGAAATGCCAACGACTTGCTGCGCAGAACGGTGCACAAACATGACCGGCGGAGCCGGTCTGGCCAGTCCGGCCATGGCCGGACCAATAATTTTTTCGATCATTATTTTTTTCAAGCACACATTTTCGTTATGCACAGGCCGGATTTACAATTATTGCAATCCCGAGCATATAATGATCTGAAATCACATAAAGTTTATGTATACACGCATATATACTACTACATGACGTTGTTTTCATGTTTATCAACATTGACGTCATATGCGCACATGCGCAGTTTAACGTGTGCCTGCACACGCACGCACGCACGTATGCACGCACGTGTACGTGCACACGCACGCACGCACGCACGCACGTCTACGTGCACATGCATGCACGCACGCACGTCTACGTGCACATGCATGCACGCACGCACGTCTACGTGCACATGCATGCACGCACGCACGCACGTGTACCTGCACACACACGCACGCACGTGTACGTGAACACGCACGCACTCACACACGCACGCAGGCACGCACGTGTACGTGAACACGCACGCACGCACGCACGCACGCACGTCTACGTGCACACGCACGAACGCACGCATGTGTACCTGCACACACACGCACGCACGTGTACGTGAACACGCACGCACTCACACACGCACGCAGGCACGCACGTGTACGTTCACACGCACGCATGCACGCACGCACGCACGTCTACGTGCACACGCACGCATGCACGCATGTGTACGTTCATATGCAGGTACGCGAACGCGCGCACGTGTACATCCAAACGCACGCACGCACGCACGCACGCGCGCATGCACACACGTGTGCCTGCACACGCACGCACGCACGTACGCACGCAGGTGTACGTGCACACGCACGCACGCACGTGTACCTGCACACACACGCACGCACGTGTACGTGAACACGCACGCACTCACACACGCACGCAGGCACGCACGTGTACGTTCACACGCACTCACGCACGCACGCACGTCTACGTGCACACGCACGCATGCACGCATGGGTACGTTCATATGCAGGTACGCGAACGCGCGCACGTGTACATCCAAACGCACGCACGCACGCACGCACGCACGTGTACGTGCACGCACACACTTATGCACGCACGTGTACGTGCACACGCAACCACGCACGCATGCACGCACATGTACGTGTACACGCACGCACGCACGCACGCACGTCTACGTGCACACGCACGCATGCACGCATGGGTACGTTCATATGCAGGTACGAACGCGCGCACGTGTACATCCAAACGCACGCACGCACGCACGCACGCACGCGCGCATGCACACACGTG